TCTATCCTCATGTTATTATTTCCGTATTTTCTCTTGCATAATATACTCCGAAATTACTGATTTTTCATTAAAATGCGAATTTAAATAATACAAATTTTCATACGAATCAAGTGTAAAATGAGAATTGATTTTTTTTTTTACAAATTACTTTTAGTAGATTTTAAACCCATTGTTCGAGCGTCAAGAGTTTTCCGACTTAAATAATTATTAAAATCGTCATTATTGTTCATTATTTCTATTAAGAATAGGAAATAAAAAATAATAACTTTGTATAAAAACGGTCGACAATATTATATAAGCCAAAGTTGTTTTTCAGTAAATTAAAAAATTTAGATCGAAAACATTGAATAAATAACCACGTTTAATTGAATTTAAACCAAAATGGGAAAATTGAGAATAATAATATTGTAGTTGTTACGTTATTAACATCGTCTAGGCGTTTTCCGAGTATATTGCATAAATATTTGCTTCAATAATTTATCTGTTAACTTTTTTGTTATTGGTTTATTATTTTTGAAGTGAACAGCTTCGTTTGTTAATATTTTAAAATTTGATTGACTTTTGAACGTTTGTTTTAGTTATTAGATCGCGCAAAATATCGACAAAGATAGCAGAACGTTCCGGAGATTCATACCCGAAGTTAGTGGTAATGTTTACACACATCACATCAGTAACCGCTAACCGGTAATATGTTATGATATTACGTTAAAGTTTAGACTCCATTCCTCAATCATTATCGCAGTGATAAAAATTCGCTCCTCGCGTTCACTGTCGGGCCTATATGTTGTTAATATGAATCATAAGGCACGCGGTGAATGCCAAGATCGAATGAACATTTCCGCACAATCATCAAACTTTCTTTACTTATTTTTGCAGCTTTAAAATATCTAATTGTTCACCCACATTATTATTATATTATTATAATAATTTATAAATGTAATAGTTGTATGCCCTAATAGTTATTCTTATTATGTTATCACGTACAGTAACCTTCATACTAATATCAATATATTGTAATTATTTATATATTTGTGCCTAAAGTATTTGTTAGAAACTTAAGGTTATTTAAACAGTGTATCGATATCATATTATTATTATATTAGTTCTTTTTTATAATTTATATTTTGTGAATGTTTAATAACTCTGTGAATAGTAATATTTATCATTATAGAACTGTTGTATAATATTTTTTGTATTTATACATTATTCATTTAGAATTTAGATGAGAATGTTTATAATATATTTTTATATCTACAAGACTACAACTCATGAAATGTATATACTATATGTATAGTAGTAAATATAAATATAATTGTACTAATTCAATACATTATATCCTATATATTTTGTTAAAACATTATAAAATATTTTATCAATGAATAAACGCAATAAAAATTATATATTGTGATTTAATGATGAAAAGGGTATAATTATAAATTTGCGGACGCATGTAAACTCCAATRATGTACAGGTCAATAYTATGATTGGATTTTATAACATGTAAATTCCACCAGCACGTTTTCTTTAGCTCTAAAAATATAGGAAACTCAACTGGCACTAAATTAATCTAGACTTAATAGTTTTATTAKAAAAAGAAACGTAATTATATTAAATAAAATTAATTAATTAATCTTATATAAGATGAAATTTTAGAATTACGCTTTTACGCTTTATCAGAAGGAAATTTAGTTATTACTAATTAGAAAATAATAAAACATTTGCAATAAAACGGTGTAACCATTTTTAAATTTTGGAGATAAAAGAGGTAAGGTGAAGTCAAGTAAAGAAAAATTACTCGAAAAATATCCTTCTTTTTCTTCTTCTTTTTCTTTCTCTGACATGTCTACTATCTAAGAAATTTTGCCATCATTACTATACTTCACCACCTATCTCTTTCTKAGACTACCTCTATCCAATCTTCAACTCCAAGGGTTTTTAGGTTTTCTTTCTCCACACCAATTCATCTTTTCTAAGTCTTCCTTTAGGTCTTTTTCTTGCGGACTCCATTCCAATGTCACTTTAACTGCTTCGTACTTYCGTATTCTGATAATGTRACCTACCCAGTGTATTCTTTGGCCCTTAATGAAGCTCGTAACTGGTGCTAGTTCCAAAATACCGTACTGCTCTTTGTTACATATTCTTCACCGATTTATTTCCTTTGACCAGTCATTCATTGTGCTTAACGTTGCTCCCAAATATTTAAAATCACTTTTTCATAGTTTAAGTACTCTATTTGATTGGATCCTCCTCACTCTCAATGAGTTCCATTATCTTTGTTTTCTCAGTGTTTAATTTAAAACTTATTTTCTATTTTCTTCACTGCTTCTTTTAACGCTCTKGCCGCATTAACAGTGTCTTCAAGCATTCACTTGAATGCTAGAACATTTCCTAATATGTCTAAATCGTTAGTAAAGCCGAGAGCCGTATCTGATTGTGACCAATTTATAATCTCCTTAATTTTCCTGTTGTAACATTACTACCTTCTATAGGGAAAGATTGAAAACTACTGTWGACAGAACGTCCTTTTGCTTTAACCCGGTGTTCACTGTAAATGTTCTTGAAGTTCTTCTTCTTAATGTGCCAATCCGTTTCGGATGTTGGCGATCATCATGGACACACAAGCCCTATCAGTGGCACTCCGGGATAGTTCCACCAAACATTTGTCAAACCATATTTTGAGGTTGGCTAGTCATAATGTTATTCTTCTTCCAGGCGATCTTTTTCTATCTATTTTCCCTTGTAGGATACGTTGGAGAAGATCATATATACACTTGTTCTGCATAATATGTCCTAAGTACTGGAGTTTTCTGCATTTAACTGTTATCACTGATTCCTTTTTCTTTCTCATTCTTCGCAATACCTCAATATTGATGTTTTTTCAGTTCATTCAATTTTCAAAATCCTTCTGTATAATASTTTAAATGCATCTATCTTATTCGAAATGGTTTTGGTTAGAGTCCAAGTTACTGTACCATACAAAAAGAGTTAAGAACACGTAGCATCCTAGGAAACGTATTTTTAAATCTAGWGACAGGTTGTGGCTCTTGAATGACACATGAATTAAAAATTGAATTAAATTTCTGGCTTTTCCAATACGATATCATATTTCTTCAGCGTTGTTCCATTGTTCGTTAATGACGATGCCAAGATATTGATATTAAAGGTACTTTTTCTATTCTGGTTTGATTAATAGTTATTTGCACTACCATGATGTATTCSTTGTTTATAATCATAAATTTAGTTTTGTTTGTATTTATATTCAGACCATATCTTATGCTAGTTTCTGTTATTTTATCCATAAATATTTTAAGGCCCTCAACAGTTTCCGCAAAAACTATGGTGTCATCAGCATAACGTAAGTTGTTTAATCTTGTGCAGTTTATAGATATCCTTTCTTCTACTTAATTTAGMGCTTCACTAAAGAAATATTTAGAGTAAAGATTAAACAAGATGGATAACAGAATACAACCCTGTCTCATCTCACGTCGAATTTCAATCGGGTCTGTTGTTTCAACTTCCATTTTGATAGCCGCTGTTTATCTCCGATATAAGTTAGCAATTATTCTAAGGCCTTTTTTCATCTATTAATATTTCTTCTAAAATCATAATCATTATATCCTGTCTAACACGGTCGAAAGCCTTCTGGTAATCAACCAGACAGACAAATACATTACAATTTACAACTCTGTATCTTTCGAAGACGACCTGTACACTAAATAGTACTTCTCTTGTGCCAACCATATTAAAAAATCCAAACTTGATTAGGTGCTATTTGTTCTTCACATAGCCCATATATTCTCTTATGATTAATCTTTAAAGGAAATAAATTCAGATTTTATCCAATCCTCGGGCATTATACCTAACTTATATACTGAATTGAATATTACTGTGATCCATCTAATTTTTTCATCATCCAGTAATCTGATAAATTCCTAGTGTGTTTGATTAGAACCAGATGCTCTGCCTTCTTTCAGTTGTTTAATAGCTGATTCCACCTCATCTAATAATATGTCTGGAACCGTTTGGTCTCCAATTTTGGATTTCTGTTCTGCTTTAACGTTATGAMATAGATTTTTCAGAAACATCTTCCATACATGTTTATTTCTCATTTATGGTGACTATTATTTTTCCATCTGCATCAACTAGTTTTCCATAGCTTTTCTTTCAAAATTTTCCTGTGATTTCCCTGATTTTTCTATACCATTAAAGTCATCATAGTTTCTTTTATAGAACTCAATCTCTGCTTATCATTCTTCTTTTTCTTTGCTTCTTTTATTTTTCTCCTGATGTTATTTTCTATTCTTCTATATTCTGTGCTATTATTTCTATGGAGCCTTCTTTTGTTCATCATATCCGAAATCTCATTTTTTTTCTGTTTATCTGACTTCAGAAATTGTTCTTTTATCTCTCCAACTGATTTCTGAAAATAATTAATCTCTTTTTCTACGTTAACGAGCGTCTTAGCGTGTTGTTGTTAATTCTGGTAAGTTTACTATAATAATTTAACTCTGTTTRTGCATTTTTTCTTACATTAGGATCTTTAAGTTTTCGTAGGACATATATTTTCCTACTTTTGTGGAATTATCCTTTTCATTCTGATTTTGAAGTTGCCCACTAATGGAACGTGATCTGATTGAATACCATTAATACCAGGTAGGTTCTGACTGCTATACAACTGTTTCTGAACCTCTGWCTCACTAGCMTGAAATCKATTTGATTTCTCACAATTTTCCAGATTTATCCATTGGTGATTTCCATGTATACAGTTTTCATGGATATAGTTTGAACTATGTATTTATTACAGCCATTGTATTTATTTCCGCAAATATTCCTAGCCTGTCTCTTCGGCTATTTATTTCTTCAASGCCAAATGATCCCACACTTACCGATGTCTTCCCTTCACCCACCCAGTTTTTCATTAAAATGCCCAATAACGATTGTTAAGTCTTGCTTTTTCAGTTTATTTATAACTTTATTAATGCTTTGATGGAATCYTCATCTCATTCTCCTCWTTGTCTGCCGTTGAGACRTGCACCTGAATGATAGAGTATAATTCWTAAACAGATTGGTATGAAGTTCTTTACTAATTTAGGCATTTTATCTGCTAGGATAATGGCTACTTCATRCTCATGCATTCCAGTTGTTGAACCTGAGTAAAGTAMTTTGTGGTTTTCTATATTTATGCTAACCGAATATGGCCATCWMATTTCACTGATACCAAGAATTGAAATATTCATCCCATCCATTTCCTTAATGACATTGTGTATTTTTCCTGCCTGATACATTGTTCTTACATTCCACGATCCAATTCTTACTTTCTCCTGCTTCTTAATTATACAAAAAACATCAGTACTTTTATATGCAACCGTTCCTCCCGGAGATTTAAATAAGGAACTTATTCCGGATAATAATTTAATCRCACWTGTAGTYATGATAATTTATACTAGGACTTGTCCGTTCTGGACCATTAATGAAGTGATTTGTTTGAAAATTCTTCCTCATCTTTATTCTGTTGACCGAATCCTGCAGTTCACCCGCCTTTAGAGCCGGTTTTCTAACTTTAGGAYAAAAGAGTGCCTTTCTCATGTCGGATCCTCCAGCCTCGCCTTCTTAGCCGACTTCCACGACAGGCGTGAAGTTAATGTTTGTAAATTCTACTACTCCTATCCGGGGGGTTCTTGAGGTTACGTTTTGCATTCTYACTCTGTATTTCATGTTTTAAATACACATTTTAGTTAGTGCTTTTAATTTTTTTGGGAAA